AAAAAAAAAAAAAAAAAAAAAAAACCATAATTATTCCTCAAAAATTGATGGAAAAATTATTTATGGAAGCTTCAAAATGCGTCCGATTAGTCGTATAAATTCTAAAATTTCTGGGGGATGCCCCTCGGATCCTCCCCCTCCGTTCTGGGGGCCCGGTACATAAAACTGGTACCAGGGCTCGAGATGGGATGAGGCGAGCCTGCATGAAGGCTATTTCCATTCAAATCTTCCGTCACATTCTTACGGCGCAATGATACAACTATTTGAACTCTCCGGAATGCGTGAGGTATCACGCCGCATTTGAAGGCGTTTTCAAAACAGCCAAGTTCCGATACCCGGATTATCGTTTTGCATAGTTCATATTCTTTTGTTTCCATTTCTAACCACTGCTTATTTAATTATAATCCTCCTATAAAAACCACCCATTTGCTAAATACAATTCTAGCTGAAGCGCACTTAAGCGCATTCATGACTGCAAAAATCTTAACGGAAATCGAAAAGGCCAGCGTGCATGAAGGCTATTTCAATTGTAATCTTCCGTCACATTTCTAAGGCGCAATGATACAACTATTTGAACTCTCCGGAATGTGTTAGGTATCACGCCGCATTTGAAGGCGTTTTAAAATCAGCCAAGTTCCGATACTTGGATTATCGTTTTGCATAGTTCATAGTATTTTGTTTTCATTACTAACCACTTGTTTATTTTTAATCCTCGTAGAAAAATCACCCATTTGTAAATACAATTCTAGCTGAAGCGCACTTCAGCTATGCATTCACCACTGCAAAAATGTTAACGGAAATCGACAAGCCCAGCGTGCATGAAGGCAGGCCCGCCACAAAGGGGGGATACTGGGTCCCTGGTACCCGTGAAAAACCCCTACGAATTCACATGCAACCCTTGTTTCGTAAGAAAAAGTGAAAAAGTTACCCTAAAAATTTCGCAAAAGGTGAATAGATCTTCAAAAACACGCTAGGACACTGAAGAATTCTTCTTAAATTTTCAAAGAAGTATACTTCTTTGAAAATTTCTATCTACTTTCAAGATTTTCAGTACAGAGTGATATTTTTAGTAACTGCGTTTCATTTTTTTCCGTCGTCAGATGCTAAGAGTCTCCAGTATAGGCATCTTCGACTTCAATGGCTCATGGCTCAACTCCCTTGCCATAGGCAAACGAAGGGGGAGTCCAGGGGGGCCTGGCCCTCTTAGAACTGAAAATAGTATCACATGCCCCCCCCCCCAAAAAAAAAAAAAAAAATTTGCAGATGTTTTGAATGCAACAATTCGCAAGTATTTTGTGCTGAAAGTAGAAAAAAAAACATAATTATTCCGCATAAATCGATGGAAAATTATTTATGGAAGCTTCAAAATGCGTCCGATTAGTCGTATAAATTCTAAAATTTCTCGGGGGATGCCCCTCGGAACCCCCCCCCCCTCTGACCTGGGGGCCCGGACCTTAAAACTGGTACCAGGGCCTGGGATGGGATGTGGCGGGCCTGTAGGGGTTGCTATTTGAAAAAAAAGTCAAATTTTTGACGAAACCAAAAGATGGCCCCCTTTGAGAAAGGAACATTCCCAACGTTTCATTTCCCTAGCTCAATTCGTTCAAAAGTTAGCAGGGGTGGGACGGACTTTTGTTACATCCTGTAGGAGAAATCCGGAGGGGGAGGGGGGCAAAATTCAGAAAGAAGTCCGGGGGAAGTCAAAATCACTGGTCGAGGAAGGTCAA